AGAGGTCCCACCAAGCCCCCTGGTCTTCACCCCACCCCGCTGCCACTCCCTGCTCTGGATGCCCACCTTTGGCTCGATGGTCCTCCTCCTTCGGGCAGTGCCCTCCTTCCCACCACTTCCGCTTGAGGATCTCCAGCCGGTTGTTCTCCTGCAGCTGCAGGATGGCCAGGGTGATCTCATCCCGAAAGGGCGAGCCTGGAGGCGGTGGGGAGCTCCAGCTGAGGCCGGGCCGCGGCCGGGCCCCGACGCGACGGCAGCCCCACACGTCCCCGTCCCCTCACCCAGCGGCATGCCGATGCCGTAGCCCTTGGTGTCCAGCAGCCCGCCGATCTGCGTGAGGTTGCAGTTGTGCCGGCGGTGGTACTCGTTCATGGTGGACTCCAGCAGGAAGGCGTACTTGGAGTTGAGCACCCGGGCGATGCCCTCCTCCGTGCTCTTCACGAAGACGCTCGGCTGCTTCGACTGCATGTAGTTCCACATGCGCTGGTAGGTCTGGTAGCGCGAGTTCTGGGGGGAGACGGGCACGGCGGGGCTCAGCGGGGAGGCGGTTGGGACGGCTTGGGGGTCTGGGTTGGGTCGGGGTTTGCCCACTTGGGTTGGGACGGGGTGGTTCCTCTTGTTGGGTTGACCCAGATCACGTGGGATGGAGTTAGGTTTGTCCATCTGGCCTGTTTTGGGTTGGGTTGACCTATGGTTTGTGTTGAACTCAACTTGTCTGGGAGCGTTTGGTTGGGTTAGGTGGTGTTGGATTGAGTTAGGCTTGTCCAGCTACTCTCTTCTGGGTTGGGTTGACTGCCATGGGGTCAGTTTGGGTTGGATGAATCGGCTTTTTTGGCTGGGTTGGGTTGAGTTTGGCTTGTTCTGTTGGTTGAGCCAGGTTGGGTTGCGTTGAGTTGGTTGAGCTGGGCTGAGTTGGGTTTGTTCTGCTGGGTTGGGTTGAGTTGGGCTGGGTTGAGTTGAGTTGGGGGGGTTGATTTGGGTTGGGTTGAGTTGGGTTGAGTTGCACTGGATTGAGTTGGGTTGGGTTGAGTTGGGTTGAGCTGCATTGGATTGAGTTGGGTTGAGTCGAGGTGGGTTGGGTTGAACTGGGTTGAGTTGGG